TTTTGGTGGGACTGGGTTTTGAACTCAGGGCTTCAAGTTTGTCAGGTAGGTACTTGCAAAGCAGGAACTCTACCACTTGAGCCACACCTCCAGCCCATTGCTAGATATTCTTCACTGTTGCCTAAATAAATCTATATAAATTGTGTATTTTTAAACAAAACAAAATTGTATTGTGTATTCTATTTCATAAAAATATGTTTTTTTCACCTTAAAATATGGCGTGGTTATCCTTCCATGTCAGTAAATGCATTTTTACATTGTCACTATTAACCACCATGACCAGAGTCATCGCTTCTGTCCCAAAAACGTCTTCATCTGTCTGCTGACAATAGTGGCTCCTGCTCACGTTTGCTCCTCTGTCTCTCCCTCTCTGCTTTTGTCCTTTCAACCTTATTCCAACTTGGAATTGCCAACTAGATAGTTCCACTTCAGTGCTTTTCTCTTACTGCAAAAAGTCCAAATTCACACTTTCTTCTTCCTCAAACCTAGTAATTAGTTTCAACGGCCTTTTCATTTTCTCCTAAAACAGCTCCTCTACTCATTCTTAGTCATTCTCACTGCCACATACCAGCCCTGACCCTTGTCTCAGTGCTGCCATCCCTCACCTGCCTCCTGGTGTTCAGTCACCTGTGGGTGGCTACCTTCTGTTCCAGAAGGTTCTGGAACAATTACCATTCCCCAAATTGTCACCTCTCCTGACCTGCACATACCTACATTGCCTCATAACTCCCTGATTTCCAGTGCTTCCTTCTCTGCCTTCATCAGTGTCTACTGTTGCAGGTATGTGCAAGCTTTGTCTCCATCCTTATCCTGGCTACATGGAATGCCTTTCCCTATCACCACCTGATCCTATCTAACCCATGAGACTCTGCTCACGTCTCACTTCTTCTAATTGCTCTAGTCCACCCAGGTGCCCCCAGCATACCTCTTCACTAAATTCCTACAGCACTTGTGGCACGCACTGCGCAGAATGGACCTTGTAGTGCCAACCCTGGGAAAGATCATGCAACGGTGCATACTGATTGGATTAACTTTCCTGGGCTGTGGGGGGGAAAGTGATTCTATGGAAATTGGAAAAGTGGCTAGATTGTAGGGGCTAGAGAATTGGGAAGAAGAGGGATGAAGGAGAGGTGCTGGGGAACAATCCTACCTGTGTGGGTTCCCCTCGGTCCATTTTGTCCCCTGTTCCCAGCTGCCCATATCTGTTATTTCCTTGCATAAAGATTCGGCCAAACTCATCGACCAGGCCAAGGTGATTGTAGCCAAGAGCGCAGAATAGGATCTAGGAAGTAAGATAAGGAAATGTGGGCATCCAGTTCCCTCCAGAGGAACTCTGAGCTCCAGAACCTCCCAACTGCTAATCTACCACCCCCTAGCTGATCTCTTTTGGCCTTGTTCTCTACATTGCCCCTTGCTCTGGGTCCCCTGTCCATCCCAGATCAATCATTCGATTCTTGCTTATATATCAGGTCCCTGGTATCATCCAATCCTTAAAGCCCCACCCTCTGATCTGCCCAATGCCCTTAGGATCCTACCTTGGCAGGCAGTGAGAGAGCAATCGGCATCTGCTGGTCCAAGGGGTCAAAGGCTTGAAGGGTCCCAAAGAGATCACGATACACCCCTGGAGTATGCACCTCAAAATACACTCCCCCCTGGTCTGGGGGGTCAGGAGCCCTCAGATCAGCAGCTTTGAGCACCCATTTCCTAGGGATAAGACCCCACCAGGGTTGAAAGCTGCAAATCCAGGGAGTCTTATACCCATTTCTGGAAATGCATCAGGCCTAGAAGCCTAGGATGCCGTGAGGGATTCACACCATGGATCTGGATAAAGGGCAAGGGGTATTGGCATTTGAAAGATCTGTCCAAGGCTGGGGTCTTGAGAGGAAGGGAGGTGGTTCTTACCTGTGATATAGAGAGTGCTGCTCTGGTTAGAAGCCATGAAGGTCACACGAAGATGTGGCAGGCAACAAGATACCTTCCTGAGGGCCAACTGGACTGTGTAGGAGCGTGGCTGGTCCAGCTGGGTCTCATTCACTACTAAAGAATAGATTTTTCCTTCCTCTGAGGGATGAGAGGAGGCATACAATTGTTTGCCAGGGGACTCACCAAAATTCATATTAAAGTCCCAAGGGACACCCTCCATCCCAAGCCACACAGGATGAAACATTTACTGCCAGAGTGGGGCTGAAAAAAAGGGAGAAGAGATACTGGCTCATGCCTGTAATCCTAGCTACTTGAGAAGGCTGAGATCGGGAGGATTATGGTTCAAGGCCAGCCCAGCAAATAGTTCAAGACCCCATCTTCAAAATAACCAGAGCAAAATGGACTGGAGGTGTGGCTCAAGTGGTAGACTACCTGCTTTGCAAGCATGAAACTCTGAGTTCAAACCCCAGTCCCATCAAAAAAAGGTGGGGGGATGAAATAAAGGAAGAGAGGCCACAAGTCCCCCAGACCCCAGCTCCTGTATTTCAGTGTGAGAGATGAGTGGAGAGAATACCTAGTGATTAGATGTATCAGACTCTAATTTGAGTATTAGGAAGAATGAAGTCTGGGTGATTTAGGGCCCTGTTTGACATTCAGAAGTCCAGAGGGAACTCTGACTTGAGGGTATGGTCAAGGATAGAGCACACTGGGAAACTGGGGAACAGTTTGGGGTACAAACTGAGATACGTGGCATAGAGGTTAGGGGATTAGAATTTTAAAAATCAGACGTTCATGAGAGCAGTGGTTTCCAAATTATTTTTTGGCAGCAGGGATCTTTATTCATATGAAATATAACGTAGAATTCTAGAGTAGGAGACAGATAAAAGCAGAGCTGTGTCATTGACAGCTGGAAGAGCCAACATGCAGGACCCTGTCTAAGAGGCCTCTCCCTCCCTCTTCCCTGCAGCATGGCTGGAAGAATCTGAAGGAAACATTTGCGAAACACTGCTTTTCAGAACACACCTGTGAGGAGCAGCAGAGCCCGATGTGTCTCCTGACCAACCAGCACAATCTGTTTGAAGCTCATGGAGTGATGGAATGTCATCTTGAAGACCCTCTGCCCACTGGACTGCAGATAGACCTCCACACAGTCGCAGGCCTGGCTGCCAGTTGTGCCTACCATTCCTGGCTGCTCCCGAGTGGCCAAGACATACAGATATTTACGGTAAACTGTGTCACACCTTGGGTCGGAGGCGAACTGTGCAGAAAGATGAGGCTGCGTGGGATCTAGGGCCTTGGAATGGGATGAGGCTGAAGTAAGTGGGTCTTGGGGTGGGGAATGAGATACTTATGTCCAGAGTTAAGAAACAAGGACTTGTTTTCAGGTTTCTGCTAAGGGAGGGCAGATGTCGTAACATCCATCCTAAGAGAGGTACACCTCAGGGACTGGGCCCTGGAGGAAGGGTGGGTTCTCAGTTGCCAGAGTTTTGCTACTCACATCCTTGGCTCCTCGACACAATACAACATAGCGGCAAGCCCGCTTCCACTGGATCTGGCCAAGGGTGGAGGAGACTAGGGCATTTTTGAGGAAGAAGAGGGTTCCCACATAGTCGAGAATGAACACATGATCCTTTGTGGGCAAGAAGCGGCGGTAGCCATGGGCTAGCAGGGGTGCCACACTCTTGCTGAGACATCGGCGGCGGCCTCCGAATGCCTGGAAATACAGGCCCTTCGTGTCTGAAGAATGGAAGGAGATAGAAGGTTCAAGGGGTGGGGATGACATGAGGGGAAGGTCAGAGCTTGGGAAAACTAGATTTTTCAGACACCCTGGTATTCAGCATTATTCTATCTCCTAGGGAGACATGGAAAGGCTAGACTGTACCCCATGTCTGCCCCATCTCAGCCCAGGACCAGACACTTGCTTTCTAGTGAGCATCACTTTGGTCCAACCTTGCATTAGAAACATCAAGGAAATATGAGAATACAGAGAAAAGAGGCAGAAAGAGGAAAGGAATGACCAAGAAAGGCCAGTAACCTTCCCTCACCCCCAGCTGTGGATCTGCTTTCTGGATCAGTCTTCTCCCCTAATTTCCCTGTGTGTGAAAGAAGTAATTGGATAGGGGTTCCCTAGAGTAGAGGAGGTTTGGAGTATGGTTCTCAAGCTGGGGGTGACTTTGCCCCTTAGGGGACCCTGGCTGTCACAACTAGGGGACGAGCTCTTAGCATCTAGTAGGTGGAGTCCAAGGATGCTACTGAACATCCTACAGGACAGCCTAGACAACAAAGAATTGTTTCTTCCCACATGTCGAAGGTGACAAAGTTCAGAAACTCTGGTTTAAAGGGAAACTCCAGGTCTGGGGAGTAGGGGAGCCTCTAGGGTAAGATCTGGAAGAGTTGATGTCTGGAGGGGTACTTGGCAGGAATGACAATGGGGAGCTATGGGTGATATGTATATCAGAGACCCTAGAGTCTTGAAGGAAATTCTCAGAATGTTTGAATTGGATGAGTTTCTTCCAGGGAAAAGGACCTGGGGAGGTGTGCAGGGAGTGCAAAGGTGGTCTGGCAACTTTACAGAGCAGGAGGGTTCCCAGAATAAGGAAGGACAGAGGCAAGGAGAGGAGGTGGTGCTGGGGAAGGTGTACAGTTAAGAATGGCAGCTCTCTTCCAGGGCCGGACCCCAGATCCCTGCTCTCGGAGGCGTGGACTGAGCCTGCGGCAGATGCGTCTCCACAGGCCCTCAGCGTCACACACTTCGTGGAAGTAGTGGCAGGTCTGGCCTAGGGCGACTACATCTCTGACTGGGAGAAATGAGATGATGTGTTCCACCTGGGGGGGCAGGAGGGAGGAAGTGGGGGTCATTGGCAGCCCATCAGTGATCTGGCTCCCAGCCCTTCATTCTCAATACTCACCAGCTCTGGGGGGAACAACTGAACAGAAATAGGGTTCCCTCTTCCCTTCTTTTCTTCACCCCCAGGCTCTGGGCCACAGGAAGGGCAGGTCCGCTTTACCTACCGGAGGAGAAGGGAGAGCATGGGTGTTCTGCAATGGTCACACCTCTTTTCCTCCATGCTATCAATCTGTCTTTCATGAACTCCTGACTTGCAGCTCATCTAACTCCAGCTGTTTGCTATTAGATCCTCCTGTCTCCTTCCAGGTCCTGGCCATCCCTCCCTGTTTGCCTTGTGCATTGGCCTGTCTGCTTGATATAACCTGTCCCTGCATCTCTTACTGCCATCAACTCCCTTCCCTGCCCCTGCCTCATCACCCCCCTCACCCTGAACCCCTCCTCCTCCTGTCTGCACAGCCCCATCAATTTTTGCAGCTTCTGTCTCTGGCTTCTCCTCACCATCCTGACTGTCCCCTCCCTGCTCCTGCCCTCATCTCTCCGGGCCCCTTGTACTCAGCTCCCAGGCCCCTGTCCCTGCTGCCTTTCCCACACCATGTCCCTGCCTGGGCTTGGGGGACCTCTGGGGCCCCTCTCCCTCCTAAGCCCCTCCCCTATGGAGTCTGGGATGAACAAAACTCTCTGTGACCTCACTGCCTAGCCACTGTGACCTATTTTACTTCACCTAGCCCAGGAGCTGGATCTTGGGTTTTGGCTTAGTTCTAGCCACCAGATGGCTCATAGAACATGCATTTTACTGGAGAAATACACGGTGAACTACTGATAGATGAGGCCTTGACTTTCAGGAAATAGATTTTTCCCACTTGAGGCACTTTCAGCATCAACACTGTAGAGAAACACTGGTGAATCCTTCACATCTCAGCACACCAGGGCTTCCAGGGACTTTTAACTCAAGAAAAAAGACAAAAAAACTCAGGATAGGAAAAAAATATACAAACTCAGTTGGGCAAGGGAAAAGAGGACCCTGCTCTGAGCTCTCTAGCTCACAAAGGCATGTACCAAATGAAAGTGGAAATAATTCTGCACAAAGTCTAGCCTCGTGGAAACACATCAAAAAGTATGCAGCTTGTCTGGGGATCAGTAACATTGCTCCATGCACAAAATACAGCTATTAAGGTGGGGGAAAGGGGTGAATTTGCTCTGAAAGCTTAAGGAAATCTCCCAGAGCTGAGCTCTTGGCTTCTCTCCTGTAGAGGCTGACATTTACCAGGACAAACAGCAGATGAGGTTGTGTCTGACCAGGTGGGAAGGAGCTGGGTTTTTCCGGGGGCTCAAAGGAATCCAGTACTGTTAAAACAACCAGCCAGCACTGCACAGGCTTACAGATCCGTTCACTGACTGCACTAGCCAACAGACCGATGCCACCCACTCCAACTCCCTTGTTTATGGCAACTAGCAAACAGCTACTTTGGTATACCTCAGAAGGAATTTTGATGCTTTAATAAATGTTTAGGCATGTCAACATCCCAGGTGTGACTTACGAGAATGCAACTTTTAGTTACTGGTGAGCAGGCAATTATCAGCATAGGAGGCGGACTCATTAAGGTCTATGTCACCATAAGGGATGTAAAGATCTCCAAATGGACAAAAGAAAAAAAGTTAAAAAAAAAAAAACTTTCCATTTGGGACCTCTTTCTCCACTCCATTTCACCCCAAAAAATTTCAAATAGACAAAATCCACTATAAAAGTGGGACAGGACCCCGCATGGAGGATTGAGACCTGGCGTCTGGTGCCAGTTGTCAGGATTTTGCTGTTTGCTCTTGCTAGTTCATTAACTCCCTCCTGCCTCAGTTTCCTCATTTGTAAAACGAAGACCATTTATGCCTCCACAGCAGAAAACGGCCCCCGCAACCCCTTCAGCTGCGACAATCGCTAGCACTAGTCTCGAACTTCTTTCTGCCTCACTCAAGTCCTCGATGCTGGCTAGCTCCCTAACACTTTCAGCTTGCAAAACGCTACTCCAACCCTGCACCGATCACCCAGCCGGCCCAGCGCGCGGCGCTCACTCTCTTTACCTCAGTCTCAAAGTTCTAGCTCACCCGCCTCCTTCGCGAAGGGAACGCCTTCTCGATCATGCTATTGGTAGGTAGAGCCGTCCCTCAGAGAGGAGGCCGGGACAGGTTCCCTTCGGAGGCTCTAATTGGCCTTCTTGACAGTCACTCGCCTGTATCTGGCTTGCAATTGGTCTTCGTTGGAAGAGAACTAGGCGCCTCCAGCTTGCGGTCTTGTTCTCTATCCTTTCTATTTGCGCGCTGGCGTCCCCGCCTCCTGATTGGACCTGATTGGCTCCATCTCCGGCCCTAAGCATTGTGATTGGATGTGGCTGCGCGGGGCGGGCCGGCCCAGAGCATCGTCCGTTGGCGAACGCTTCATTTTTCTCCCCCTCCCTTCTATAGCCTGGCTCCAGGGCCCGAGGCTCCACCCCACCGGCGAGTTCTGATTAGCCGCTTCCGACGCGTCTCAGGACCGCGATTGGTCCGCCGGGTCTTTGACCCCCCGCTTCCTCCCGCTTGAGGCGACTACGGCGGCTCCAAGGAGGGGGAGGGGAGAGGAGAGACGGCCGGTCCCGTCAGTCAGGCAGCGGGAGCCGCCGGGAGCGGATGGCGGCGGCAGTAGCGGCCCCACTCGCCGCTGGGGGAGAGGAAGCAGCGGCCACGATCTCCGTGCCAGGGTCTCCGGGTCTGCCCGGGAGCCGCAGCGCAGAGAGAGCCCTAGAGGAGGCCGTGGCCACCGGGACCCTGAACTTGTCTAACCGGCGCTTGAAGCACTTCCCCCGGGGCGCGGCCCGCAGCTACGACCTGTCAGACATCACCCAGGCTGGTGAGTGTGCCGGGTCCCGGGCCGACCGCGACCCTCATTTGCATAGCCCCGCCCCTCGGTTGCGCTTCCCCCGCCCCTCCCGCGAGTCAGGCCGGCCCCTTCACCTGGCTGTCTGGGGTGCTCGCCCTCTTGGTTGGCATATGCTTGCGACACCCCCCAAACTATAAGAACCACTGGACAATGAGCTCACTTCTCATTTGCACAGAACGTCCGGCGTCTCTGGCCGGCGTTGTGAGAGTCCACGTTTATTTGCATATGCGCACCTGTAGAGCGGCCCTGCCCCTCACTGCTTGGCTCATTTGCATGACCTCTTCAACCTTAGTTCTGATCGTTTCATAAAACTTCCCCACAGCCTCCTCCATAGCTACTCCTTCTTCTCCCTCCTCGTCATCTCTGACTCTCTACCCTCTCCCACTGGGTCCGAGTAGCCACTAGGCGCCCCTTCTTATAGATCGCCCCTGACAACGGCCCTTACTTTGCCATAGTCCCGCCCCTAAGATCCCCGGCCCTCTCCACCTTTCATCCAACCAGCCTATGAGAAAGAAGCCAATCTCCTACTTCCCGTAACTCTTCTCCCTGAGTTTTTCCGCCCATTATCCTTGACCCCTTTATCTGCGACTCCTCCTTCCTCCGTCTGTGAGGTCACTGGAGCCTTTGACCTCATAGGGACCCTAGAATTCCCATTTCAGTTTCTGCTTTCCCTGGGGAATGGTAGGTGGTTGGGGACTTAAGGCAGTTGCTGAAAAGAAGGAAATTGAATCTCCTAGCCCGGAGTGTTGGCCCTCTGGAGATTCTTCTTCCACTCCCCTATCGCTGGCAGGATTCCTCTAATCATGTCCGCTCCACCCTAGTGTCTGTTGATGTTGGGGGGGGAGCGGGGCCGGGAGCTTTACTATGACAGGTGAGTCAACCTCAGCTGCTTAGGAGGCAGCCTATGACCTTGGGCTGGCAGCTGGGAGGTGGGGATCAGGAGAGTAAAAGACTGCATTCCAGGAGCCCCACCCCAGCCCAGCCTAGGCTGGAGTGTGAGGGACCTCCTGCTTCTCTCAGCTTCAGGGTGGAGGCATGGGTGTGGATAAAAGGGTGCATTTCTCCTCCAGCAGGTGCCCACTTCACCTGCAACCACTCAGGCTGACCTTGGCACACACACTCTGTCTCCCTACTCTTGTGGGGAGAATCAGTTTAAACCTCTTCACTTTTCTTGCCCACTATGTGGTGAGTGAATGTGAAGAATGGATGGAGCCCCATGAGCCATTTGTAGCCCTCCAAGCCCCCCCTCCAACCCCTAAGCTCCAGATTGACCTCAGCAGCTGTGTGACACCGGCCGTCTGTTCCCTTTCCCCTCCCCCTTGCTTGTTTTTTGACAAAGACCAAATGTTATTCTTTACTTCCTTAGGGCTCTGTCTTAGTGGCAGAGCCCTTAGTGGACTCTTGGGGAAATCTACCAAGAACTCCCAGCACCTCCCAGCTCCTGCCCCCACCCAGCCTCCTCCTCCAGCATTCCGGCTCAGGGTGCAGCCAGGACTCCCATGGCTTCACTTGTGTGGTGAAGCGGGAAAATCCCTGCTTCCTAAGAACCCCTCTCTGCCCTCCTCAGTCCTTTCAGGGCCTAGGTTCTAGGCCAGGTGTGTTTTGTCTTGTACAGATTTCTCTTCTCTGCCCCCCATTCTCAAGCAGCATGTGCCTAGCATGGAGTGGAAAGGGGAAGTGACAACAACACAGAGTTGTCCCTGTGGTGCCCTCCCTGCCCTGCAACCCAGACTAAACCCTTTAGCTGCCAGATCATTCTGAACTCTTTCCTCCTGACTTCTCTGCTCTTTCTGAGTGTCTTCTCTGCATGTTTCCTGTGCTCATGCCCCTGATAGCCCTTGGACTCTGTTCCCTGGGCCCACTAGTAGGAAGAGTCCTGGGTGGGGGAAGGGCCGCTCTAGCAAAGGAGAAGTGTAGCTCCTTCTCCCACAGACCACATCCTGTGCCCCTAAGCCCTGCCTCCTGCAGCCTGGGTTCCCTTCCGCCCCTGGCTTTTGCCCTGCCACTGCTTACCCCATCAGAACTTTGTCTCCACCCCTTGCATCCACATGCACACACACAGACACATTTGTAGACACAGAGGAAGCAGGCAGGTGTTGGGCACCGGTGGGAGGACCGGATGCAGTCCTCCCACCTGCTCCAGAACTGTCTTCTCCGAGCTGGGTCTCCTGTTGGTGCACAAGGGCTGGGGCAGAGGGGGAAGGCGGAGCAAGTTCTGGGGCATCAGGCTGTCAAACATAGAGCCTACCAATGATGACATGATAGATTGTTTCTAATTCATTTCTTGCCATAAGACTCATTTCCTTGTGAGATATGCCCCAATTTCCCTTCCTCTTAGTTTTTGCTCCCCCCCTCTGAGGAAGTCCCTCAAAGAAGCTCACCTGAGGTCTGCTGCCTGGGACTTCCCCTAGCAGGCCTGGGCCCCTCCCAATGCAGGCTGAGCTAAGCAAACAGAAACACAGCCTTCTTTCTAGAGGTCTGCGCAGTCTGTGTTTGCAGACTGGAGGGAATCCCAGGCCTGGCTCCAGGCACTACCCTGGTGAACCACTGTTTTAGATAACAAGGAAAACAGCCTTTTCCGTCCCCACTCACTTTCATCTCCCTTCCATTCCTTGCCATGTTCAAGATGAATGGAAAATCTCTCAACTCTTTCTTTTTTTTTTTTTTTGGTTGTAGTGGGGCTTGAATTCAGGGCCTACACCTTGAGTCACTCCACCAGCCCTTTTTTGTGAAGGGTTTTTTTGAGAGGATCTCATGAACTATTTGGGCTGGCTTCTAACCTTGATCCTCCTGATCTCTGCTTCTTGAGTAGCTAAGACCTGTAGGCATGAACCACCAGCCAGCACCCAGTAGCTCTCAACTCTTGAGGACTGGGTCAATCAGAGAGGAAGTAAGGAAGGCTGATGAGGTTGGAAGAGGGTGGGAAGTAGGCCAACTCTGGGGCAGGGGAGTTCAGATGGGAATGATCTAAGGACTCCGGCCCCCAGCTCCAACTTGACTCTTTGTCTTTCCCTCCCAGCCCTTGGGAGGAACTTCATAGTCCCTTGGTCCTGGGGGCTGGTTAAAAAAATGTTTAGTGTCAGGAAACTTTCTTAATCTCTAGAACCAGGAACTTTGTTTTCTCTCTGGTTTTGAAAAAATATTAAGGCTGGGAAGAAGGGCCCTCTCAGTGGTCCCCAGAGGTTTTCATATTTCCTCCTTGACCCTCTCAGCCCATCCCCTTACTGTTTTCTTTTTCTTCATCCCTCCCACTCCACTTTGGTACTGAGAATCAGACTCAGGACTTTGGGCTTGATAAGTGTTTGCTGTACCACTGAGCCATACCCCAGCCCGTGCCTGACTGAGCACTACCCCTGACTGATCTTTTGCCTTTCACCTCTCCTGGCATTTCAGGATACAAGGAACCACAAAAGTTACAGAATCTAGCTACCCTTCCAGGAAAACTCTTTGTGAATTTGAAGATGGTGTTCATAGTATATCCCCATGCCCCAAATCTGGGTTTCTTCATCTCAGTAACCCTGTTTTTGTCTTCTCTTTTGCCTTTGTGGTCATGCTTAGAATGTGCTTTGCAGAAGGCTTTGCTGTCTCTCCAGGGGGCTCAGGTTTATGGGCTGGATTCTTTAAGTCAGTTGGGAGTAGGGAGCTGGGCAGGTAGCTCAGTGGACATTCAGAGCCCCCTTCTGCAGAGCTGGACCTTTCCACAACTCTCCCCTGACACTTGCTTCCTCTAGACCTGTCCCGGAACCGGTTTCCTGAGGTGCCCGAGGCAGCGTGCCAGCTGGTATCCCTGGAAGGCCTGAGCCTCTACCACAACTGTCTGAGATGCCTGAACCCAGCCTTGGGGAATCTCACAGCTCTCACCTACCTCAACCTCAGGTAGTAGGGGAACTTGTCCTTATCAGCCTCAAGAACCAGTGCATAGGACCCTGAGTGACCCTCCCAGTCCCTGAGAGGAGGGCAATACTGGGATGCCATGCCTGGAGAGTGAGCCTACTGCTTTTCTCCTTTCTACAGCCGGAACCAGCTGTCGTCATTACCACCCTACATCTGCCAGCTACCCCTGAGGGTGCTCATTGTCAGCAACAACAAGCTAGGAGCCCTGCCCCCCGATATTGGCACCTTAGGAAGCCTTCGACAGCTTGTGAGAATGGGGAACAGGGAACAGAGCCAGGCACCCAGGGACCTTTGTATGTGTGTGGCGGGGGGGAAACTGGGAAAAGGCAGGAAGTTCCCTAAGTGAAAGGCTTGGAATGAAGGCAAATACCCAGAGACAGATGGGAGGGTAGTTTCTGATGATCCTGGGCTTATGGCTCCATCCTGCTGCTTTCTTAATTCCAGGATGTGAGCAGCAATGAGCTGCAGTCCCTCCCAGTGGAGCTCTGTAGCCTCCGTTCCCTTCGGGATCTCAATGTTCGGAGGAACCAGCTTAGCACCCTGCCTGATGGTAAGGAAAACAAAGAACTGAAGGGGATGGTGTGTGTGTGTGTGTGTCTTCATCAGGTCAGGCTGCTATAACAAAGGTATCATAGACTGGTTGGCTTATAAACAACAGAAACATACTACACCCTGACCCAAGATCAGGGTACCAGTAAGGTCACATTCTGGTGAGACCCTCTTTTGGGTTGCAGATTGCCACTTTCTCATTGTATCATCACATAGCACAGAGGGCTTTCTGAGCTCTTTTTATAAGAGCACTAATTCCATTCAGAAAGGTGCCATCCTCATTATCTTAATTACCACCCACAGGACCTACCTTCTAATATTGTCATTTTGAGGGTTATAGGTTGTTTTGGGGTTTTTTTGGTGCTACTGGCATTTGCACTCAGGGCCTTGTGCTTGCTAGGCACTGTACCACTTTAGCCATGCCCCCAGCCCACTTTGAGGGTTATAATTTTTTGGGGTTGGAGTGGGGCAGAGGTGTGCCTCAAGTGATAGAGTGCCTGCCTAGCAAGCTTGAAGCCCTGAGTTCAAACCCCAGCACTGCAAAACAAACCAAAAAAAAATTTAAACATAAAACACAATAAATAAATAAAGCAAACTGTAAATGATTTTATTTGCTCTTAGCAACCCCCTGAGGGTGACATGGCATGGATTACTAGCTCTGTTTTATAAATTTGGGAACAGATATGGAAAGGGGAAGAGGTGAATGGATCGGCTCTGTGTAGAAACTCAAGGTTGGAAGGGGCCTTCAAGGTCACCCAGCATAACCACTTACCCCAGCAGGAGATCTTAAACAAAACCAAGTCAGGTGATACCCTGTTCCTTCTCCCCAGAGCTCTGAGTCAGGAGGGAGTCTAGTACTGGAGCCCAAGCAGCCCTGTTTTAACAAGTTAATTGTGACACGCCAACATTTGATACCCTCTGCTAAGAAGCAGGCACACCTTGTTTTATTCAGCCAGCATTGTTCTTGTGTGTGTGCTTCCTGTGTTTTAAATGAGGGCCAGGTAGATGTGGCTGATGTGACTAAGATCGGTGGCCAACTCCAAGGGTTTAATGGCTTAATGGGCAGAGATACACATTCCCACGGAACTGCTAGAACAGGATACTTTGAGAGCACAGGGAGCTAGAGGGGAGGCAGGGCCCTGCTTAGGGAGGTGAAGACTTCTGCCCAAAAGCTGAGGCCAAACACGAGCTGACCTTAGAAGGAAAATTCTCCATCCTTCATCCAGACAAAGGAACCACCATGTGCAAAACATTAGATGGGAAGGAACATTGTCTAGTATGGATGCAGTTAGAAAGACAAGAGAGAGTGAGGCAGGAAGGGCTATGCCATGATGAAAGGTGTGAACTGTATTTTGAAGAACAAGAGGGGAATTGGATGGTCCCCTTACACCTTTTTTGAGCCTTTGTTCTTCCTTCTGAGTCAGCAGGTATCTTAGTCCATTTTCTGTTGCTGTAACCAAATACCTGAGACTGAGTAATTTATAAAGAATTTTATTTGGCTCATGGGTCAGCATCTGCTTAGCAACTGGTGAGGGAGGGCCTTTTGCTGCATCAGAACATGCAGAGGGCATCACATGGGGAGTGAGAGCTTGCTTTTATAACAAAGCCACACCCTTGATGACCCATAAATACATAAGTGGATTAGTCCAATTGTGAGGAAAGAGTCCCCGTGTCCCAGTCACCTTCCACAGGTCCCATCTCAAAGTATCATTAACATACAAATTTGGTGATTTAAGTTTCTGCCACTTGAAATTTGGGGACACATTCAAACCATACTAGGGGTACAAATAAGTATTTGGTCAGGGCTGTCCCTGGGCCATAAAAAGAGATCCAAGAAAAATGCCCAGGGGCTTCAAAGGAGCAATGAATTCCATGACCCTGAAGTGTCTGGAAAGACTCATAGAGGAGGTAAAGCTTGAGCTGAACCTTGAAAGATGTGTGGACTGGAAAATGGAGTTTCATTTTTTGCTCACAGCTAAATGAAGAGGCTATGGAAGGGTCCAGAAGCTGAGAGACTTGAGGGGCAAGCAGTGAGGTAGAAAACAGGAGCGGAGCCAGATTGTAAAAGCCTTGACCACCATAGACTAAGGGACTGACAGTTTTTATTTTGTGTCTAGGGCTGCCATGACTCCAGATTAAGAAAAACAGTCTGGTTTTTTTTTTTTGTTTTTTTTTTGGTGGTACTGGGGTTTGAACTTATGCCCTTGTGCTAGCTGGGCAGGCACTTCTACCACTTAAGCTACTCTGCCAGCCCTATTTTTTTTGTGTGTGTGTGTGTATTGGGTATTTTCAAGATAGTGTCTCAGGAAATGTCTTATTTGCCTGGGCTGGCTTCGAACTGTGATCCTCCTGAGTAGTTTAGGATTACAGATGTGAGCCACCAGTGCCCAATTAAGACAGTCTTCTTTTTTTTTTTTGAGAAAGCACTCCCTGTGGGCAGGTAGAGCTTTACCCAGGCTCAGGGCCTGACTAGCATGGGAGACTGCAGCCAGTGGGTGCTCTTGGGCAGGGCACAGCCTGCCCAACTTCAGCAGCCCTGGTCAGGAGGGTTTGAGCAATGGGTGTCATGGTTTGATTTGTGTCTTGTGCTGTGCTGATCACTTGAGAATGCAGGATCTGTTGTAGTGTGGAAGGACAGGCAAGGAGGGATGCGCAGGGCTGGTGGAGCTTTAGTACAGATAGGCTTTATGGTGGCCAGGAGTGAGTAGGAAGAGCAGCAGGGAGGTAGCTCTTGGGGAGTAACCTGAGCCAGGGAAGAGGAGTCAGGGGTGACTGGCCAGCCAGAGCAGAGGATGAGGAAGGGGGCACAAGGCCCCAGGCTCTGGCTTGCTCCTGACTCTTCCCTCACCCACCCCAGAGCTGGGGGACCTTCCTCTGGTCCGCCTGGATTTCTCCTGTAACCGTGTCTCCCGCATCCCGGTCTCCTTCTGCCGCCTCAGGCACCTGCAGGTCATTCTGCTAGACAGCAACCCCCTGCAGAGCCCACCTGCCCAGGTGAGGTATGGGCTGGATGGACCTTGGGGACAGGGACAAGATTAAGCAGGAGTGTGGGTGGGTGTTCCTTTAGTAGGCCAGCAGGATCTAGGGAGCCACTCTTACTCTCCTACATGTGCCTCCATACAGATCTGCCTGAAGGGGAAACTTCACATCTTCAAGTACTTATCAACAGAGGCTGGGCGCCGTGGGGCTGCTCTGGTGGACCTGGCCCCTTCCCACCCACCAAGTTTCAGTCCCTGGTAAGTCCTGGTGGGAAGAAAGGAAGCCCTGGGTACTTTATGCTTCTTCCTGGCACCAGGGACCTCTGGGTTCCAGTGGGAGAATGAGGGGTGCTGCTAGAACAGGACTGACCAGGTCTCCCTGCTGGCCCCAGCCCCGCCGAGGATTTATTTCCAGGACGTCGGTACGATGGAGGGCTGGACTCAGGCTTCCACAGTGTTGACAGTGGCAGCAAGAGGTGGTCTGGAAATGAGGTAAGGTCCTCCTTTCCAAGGGCACTTGGGAGTGTCAGTTCTGGGGAATCTCTTGTATTGGGGACCCTTTGCCTGGTATCTCTGAATCTCAGTGATTGGCAGTAGCTGGAGCTCTTTCTTTCTTCTCCCCACTATCCCAGGGAGGGCTGGCTCAGCCACAGACCCCAATCTCAGTCCCTCACAGAGTCCAGCAGGCCTGAGCCCCCTGAGCCCCCAGCACTGTAGAGTCCATCTCCCATCTCTGCCTCTCTGCCTTTACAGTCAACAGATGAATTTTCAGAGCTTTCATTCCGGATCTCAGAGCTGGCCCGGGAGCCTCGGGGCCCCAGAGAACGGAGGGAAGATGGCTCTGGTGAGGAGGACAGTTGGGCCAGGGAGGTGTGGGGTAGATGAGGGCCTAAAGGTTCCTATCTGCTTGTTTACTGACATGCCCTGGCCCCTCCAGCTGATGGAGACCCAGAACAGATCGACTTCATTGACAGCCACGTCCCTGGGGAGGACGAAGAGCGAAGTGCTGCTGAGGTGAGGACCCAGCCATGTCCCTCCTCCAAGAGGGGGCTGGAGGGAAGGTGTCAGCACAGGCATGGGGGCCAGGCCTTCCCTCAGTCTGTTCTGTTCTCTCTTCAGGAGCAGCAGCCACCTGAATTAAGCCCTGTGGCAGGGGATGGGGAGAAGGCATCAAGCAGCAGGTACCCCAGCCCCTAGCCCATATTTCTGCCTAGTACTCACAACCCCAGTCCCTTCTCTTGCCTTGACTGGGGTCTCTCTTGTCCTGACTTCCCTCAGGCGGGAGGAGTCTGCAGGGGAGGAACGGCGGCGACCTGACACCTTGCAGTTGTGGCAGGAGCGAGAGCGGCGGCAGCAGCAGCAACAGCAGCAACAGCAGCAACAGAGTGGAGGAGCCCCCAGGAAGGACAGGTGTGGGTCCAGAGCTACCCCGGGTGGTTGCTGGAGAGTGGGGTCCAGACATGGGGGATGTGAGCACCAACTAAGCTAGTGGGTCCCTCTGGTCTGCTACCTGTCTGATGTAGCTGACTCCACTTCTCCTGCTTCTTCCAGTTTCCTGAAGTTGGGGCTCAAGGCTGTTGGGGGAAGCACTGCTGCCTTATCCACGCAGGCCACCTACAAGTAGGTTTCCTTCCTAAGAATCGACCCTATACCCTTCCCCTGAAAAGCCCTCTAATACACTTTCTGTCTCCTCAGTGGCCCACCCAAGCCTACTGCTGTCCAACTGGGAACTTCAGGGGGACAGGGAACCCCGATGCCTGCCCCCCCATCCCAGGACCCCCTTCCTGTAGCTGGACCAGGTGGGATAGGGGCTTTGGGAGGAGGATGGGGTGTTTGGAACCCAGTGGCCTGAGGGAAGAGTGAGACACGGGATGCCTCTCTTACCTGACACTGCCCCTGACTCTGGCCCGCAGCAACTACACCTATTCCCCGGCCGCTCAGCTCCATTCAGAGACCAAACAGTTTCCTCTTCCGTTCCTCCTCTCAGAGTGGCTCAGGTGGGTCTCCCTGCCCTCCGCAGCATGGCCCCAGCTTCAGCTAGCACTGACTTTTCCAGGTCTGCTTTCCCTTTGTGTTGAAAATCCCACAAGTAGAGGAAGGAGGTATGGGTGCCAGACCCTGGGAGTTGGGTACAGAGTTGCCACTGCATACTAGAGACAGCCTGTGCCCTCCTTTTCCTCCTAGGCCCTTCCTCACCAGACTCTGTCTTGAGACCTCGGCCATCCTCCCAGGTTCTGGACCAGAAGGAATTAATGTCTCAACTGCGCCAGGCAAGCAGAGGTGGGATCTGTATGGGCAGAGCCTGGGCTCAGCAAGGCACCTCTTCCAGTTTCCTTCCTCAGGGCCCAGGCATCCCTTAACACCTTTTTTCCCATCTTGTTACTTCCCTGAGTAGGAAAGGGGCAGGCGTAAGTTCCCCACTGACCTTTCCTGGTCCTCTCTCCTCTGCTCCCAGGTCCTTGAGTCCCGGCTGCAACGGCCCCTGCCTGAGGACCTGGCTGAGGCTCTGGCCAATGGGGTCATCCTCTGTCAGCTGGCCAACCAGCTGCGGCCCCGTTCCGTGCCCTTCATTCATGTGCCCTCACCTGCTGTGGTCAGTTGGGGCTCGGGAGGAAGTGGGACATGGGATAGGAGTTTCTATAGCCTCTTCCTTACCTTCTTTCCTTGTCTTACCTACCTTTAGCCAAAGCTCAGTACCCTCAAGTCTCGGAAGAATGTGGAAAGTTTCTTAGAAGCCTGTAGAAAAATGGGGGTCCCTGAGGTATGGGGGCTGATCTCTGCTCTGAAGGGTGGTGGGTGCATGGATGGTGGGTTCCATTCACAGGGGTGTCTGCTCCCAGAGGAAGCATATCAGCATGCCCTGGCCACATCCCTCCCTGCCCTGCATGTCTGCATGTTGGTGTGGCTCTGGCCCTGGCACGTGAGGGCGGGCATGGGAAGGACTGTCTGGCTTCTGCTGCTGACATCTGCCCTTTGTCCTTGTCCATCTGCCCTGCCCGCCCTTCCCAGGCTGACCTGTGTTCGCCCTCGGATCTCCTCCAGGGCACTGCCCAGGGCCTTCGGACCACACTGGAGGCTGTGTCATGGGCGGGGGGCAAGTCCCCTCCGCCCGTCTGGCCCCCCTCTGGTCTGGGTGGCTTCGTCCTCTTCTACGTGGTCCTCATGCTGCTGCTCTATGTCGTCTACATTCGGCTTCTGGGTTCCTAGGATGGAAGTCACTCCTTCCCCTCCCTCCCCACTTCTATTTATAAGAATCCTGAGCAACCCTGTCCACACCCGTGGTGCCTTCAGCCCTACCAAAGACACTAGTGTACCCCCCACAAACACTGACCTCAGAGGCCCCACTCTGGTGCCCCCAGACCCTGGGTCCCCCGCCTCTGGCCTCCCTCCTGTAGCCCCTCACTCACTGCCCCTCACCCCCTCAGTGCTGATGGTGCCTTTATGCCTTCTCCCGCCCTCTGGGCCCTCTGTTCCCCCAGAGAGGTTGTAGGAGCTCAGACCTTTCCTCCCCTATCTCCTTCCCCCCAACTGGCTGCTACTGGGGGGCTAAATTATCTCTGTTTTGTAGAGAGAGCTCTATATTTGTAGAGGATGCAGAGGCCCAGGCTGGGTCCTCAACTCTGTGTATAAACTGTACAGACTGTGGCTGTGTTCATGTTTTTGTCTGCTCCTGTTGTGGCCAGGCTTAGCCCTGGTAGGGTCTCCTGGGCTCCAAGTGCCAGCTTGTCTGTGCCAGCCTTTCCCTCTGTAAATGACAGGCCTCTCCCACCCCTAAGCCTTGGCCCCTGTGTGACCTCCTCTGTTACCCCTGCAGCTTCCTTGTCTCATTTGTCCTGGAGGGGGCAGTGTCTACCAAGAGTCCCCTCCTCCAACCTTCACCCCGTCCACCTTGCCGGGGCAGGGAAGGCGAGTGGAGGGTGCACCAGGGAACTTAACTTGGGCCCCTCCCCCCAGGAGTCCCTGTGCCAGTCCCACCACATCCTGGACGAGGAGGGGGGCCCGGGAAGGGGCCTCCCCCACATCGCTGCTGTGGTCCATGCACTGCTGGAACGGCCTTAGGGGTGGAGGTAGGGGCTTAGGGCCCCAGCCGCCCGCCCCTCCCCGCCCCGGGAACAGAAGACTCGTCTGGGCTCTGCCTCTTAACAAGGACTTGGTGTGGGCGGCCTCGGGCCTGGCCCCAGTCTGCCCTTGGGCCATCTCCGTGTGGCCAGGGATCTGGGTGGAAGCCGATGTTGTGTCGAGCGCAATAAAGAGAAGCCCGAAGCCCTGTAGGTTGGCACTCAGGTGTGAGCGTGTCTGTGAGCAAGTGCGGGCGTCACTGGGCCGGGGTCACCTCCCGGGCGGCGGGTCTGGGTGCCCTGCTGGGCGTGTGTTTCTGCACCAGGCCCAGCGCTCAGACCCTGCCGCCAGGGGGCGCCCGCAGGACGGGCGCGAGCGCACTACTTGGCGGGTGGGAGGCTCTGGTCAGCCGTCGGAGGTGGGCGGGCTACCTGGGTTCACGCACAGGCCACGCAGCTAGGCAGCGGAGTGGACGGCGAGGGCTGTGAGGGGCACAGGCGCTGCCCTACGCTTCCCCAGACGCAGCTGACAGGACATGCTAGAGAAGTTGGGTCTCTCGGTGGGAGGTGACCAGAGCAAGGCCTGGAGCTCTGGAGGGGAACCCCCGGAGGAGCCAGGAACGTCCCCATGGGACAGGTGAGGACTTGGCTGGGCCCCTGGGGGACATTGTGACGTAAGACTGCGTGCGAAACCTGCATGGTATAGAGAATGAGTGTCTCCCTGAACCAAACATTCTCAGCCCTGCTCTAAGCTCCAGGGAGAGGACCAGGGGAGGAAGGTAGGAACTCGGAGACTCCGAAGGGAGCATCCCATCCTCTTCCCTAGCTTGCAGCCACAGGCCTTCAGCCCTTCCTGGGCCCCGAGCCGGACTCAGACCAGGAGACAACAGCTGCTGCCCTGCCACCCTGCAAGCTTGGCTACTGAGCCAGCCCTAAGAACCCCAGGTAGGCACTGCGCCTTCACACCCAAGACTCTCTCATGGATTCGGCTTATCCTAATCTCTTCAGGTGTTTTCCTAGTCCCGTTTTCCCCAAAGATGGTCTGGGAGGCGACTTCCTCAAGGATGGCTCTGCTGTCACCCTGGGACCCCAGCTACGAGGCTAAAGCAAGACCTCAGGTATGGGTGAGTTGGGGGGGACCTTCTGGCTGTGGTTTCAGGTGGCAGGGATGTCAGGGAGGGGCTGAGGCTCCAGTGACCTTCCCTGCCTTCCACAGGAGGCCAGCTGTGGGTCAGGTGTCTCCTTCTCTAGCCGAACATTGTGTCATCCCTCCTTCTGGCCCATGTATGAGGCAGTGGGCAGAGACCTCAGGCCCACACAGAAGCATCAGAATGGTCAGCCAGTGTCCAGGGATGCAGGTATTTCCCCATAAACCCCACCAGGAAACAAGAGCACCAGCCTGGGGCGGGAGACCCCAGGCCACCACCCCAGCAGGCTCTCCTCCCTAGGACTCCCAGTGATGTGCCATGAAGACTTCTTTTTCTTGGACCCTCTGCTGCCACGTGGGCATCGTGTTCCCCTGTATCTGTCTGAGCCCCCTCAGCAGGTGAGAGCAACCCCCCTCCCGACCGCCCCCATTGCCCCCATTGTCTGTGCTGGGTCTGCAAGGAACAACTTGCGCTCCTCTCTTCTCAGGCCATGGGCTCGCTGAAGCTGCTGCTCCTGCCCCCTATCATGAGTCCCTCCGTCTGCCCCTCCACATCCCAGGGCTGCTCTACGGCCTGGCTCAGTGAGCCAGAGCTGACTGCCCTTACTGGCCTGCTACAGATGAGCCAGGGGGAGCCAAGACCCAGCTCCTTGGTGGCTCCTTTGACCTCTGCTGGCCACACAGACAGTTTCTGACCACTCAGGCCCATCTCTCCCACAGACTCGACACCCACTGTGCATAGCCCCTCTGGGACAGAGTGGGCCTCCTTCCCCACCCCATTGTATTGACAATAAAACAGCAGTGATGTGTGAAGCAGGCTCTCTGTGGCGGAGTGGACCATGAAGGCAGGGATGGGGTTTCTTGTGACTCATTGGTCACCCCCTTGTCATGGGACGGGAATCCAAAGACCCAAGACAGTCACTGAGCAGGGCACCTTTAATAGGTGGGTAGTGGCCCACAGTCAATAGGTGGGTTGGAAGCAAGAACTTCATCAGCTCTTCTAGGCCTGAGAAAGGGAGACTAAGAACGGGTATGTTGCTTTGGGGGGCACTAGTGATAAGATGTCCCCTCGGTGTGAGGACAGAGCTGTCCAAATAGGGAGGAGTCTTCATCATGGCCAGAGCCAGCCTGAGACAGATTCTATAGGAACTCTGCAAGGAAAAAGGAGCAGGGTTTTAGATGAGAAAACCCAGAAGTTTGTAGATTATTAGGGGGGTGGGGGTGGTAATAGGAAAGTTCTAGAATTTTCTTCCTTAAAAGAATCCAACTTTCTGGGGACCCTCTTCCTGAGAATTTTTCCTTTTTCCTGTTTAATGGTACTTGGAACTTCACCCAGGATCTTACACTTGCTTACAGGCATGCACCACCATGTCCGCCTTCCTGAGGATTTCTTAGGCACCACAGTTGGAAAGGGCAGAGCAAACCAAGGGGCAAGAACAGTGCCACTGTAAGTCACACAGCAGAGACCCTAGCCGTGGTAGGAGGCAGTTAGGGTGTGGAGGTGGGTGGGCACATCAGTAACCTCCCTCACCTGTGTGCCTCTCAAAGGTTCTAGAACTCAATGTGTGCATAGCTGTGCTGGCCTGCCCTGGGGACATCACTGAGTGCTTCCAGGGGAGGGACCAGGTCTAAGTCTATGTAGTTGAGGCTACTGTTGGGGTGCTGCGGCCTGGCAGTGCCCATTCCAATGCAGTTCGTGGCCGAGGACTGGATGTACACATACTCCCCAGCCAGCTCTGACGGTGGCGGTGGACAGGGCTGAGCGTCCTGAGTGTCCCCTGGTCTCCGGCTGTCCCTGATGCTGCAAAGGGTTCTCCGGGGCTTGGGTTTAGGCTTCTTGGGTTCAGACTTACAGGAAAGGGACCCTGGTGGAAAGCTGTTCATGGGGACATACCCTGTGGCCCCCCGATCCTGGTGGGAAGCAGCACTGGTAGTGGTAGGACCAGTGCCTGGGGGCGCCATCAACACATAGCCGCCTGCCTCTCCACCGGCCATGTGCACATAATTATCCCCAGCTCCCATGTCGATGTATCCCTCGCCCCCATCCAACTCATTGGAGTGAGAGGCTGTGGTCCCCAGCCTTGGCAAGGTCTTGAGGGTCCCTTGCTCCATTCTCTCACCCAAGCCTTTGGGTTGTGCCGCTAAGGCTGGGGTCTCATAAGGTGAGATAGGGTACGATATGGAGACGCTCGATAAGAGATCCCTGGACAGTGGCTCATCCTTGCCACCTGCACCACTACCCCCGAGTCTCTTCATGGCGGCCAGCACGGTCTCATGAATGCTTTGGGCCACCACGGCGTCGGGCGCCTGCAGCCACAGCTCCCCGGGCCCGGTGGGCGCGGAGCGGCCGAGCTCCAGGAAAAAGAAAGAGTCTGCGTGGCCGCAGCGGCGCACGCTAAGAAGGGACAGTCGCAGGGCCGGGAGCGGTGATGCCCGGCCGTCCCGGGAACCTTTGCTCCCTGGCTTCCGCAGCAAACTCAGGGCCCCCGAACCTAGGCACAGGCGGTAGCCGCCGCTGCCCAGGCCTCGTGTCCTCCCCAGCCCCTTGGGTCGCAGAGTCACGGCCCAGACGTCCTGGAACGGAGCAAGGATCCAGGCTTCGGGGTCCTTGTGGGAGATGGGACCTGGGGAGACAACGGGGGTGGTTAGAGAGGCGTGTTGGAGAGCGGGGAGAAAGTGCAGGACCCAAAGAATTGAAGATAGGTGAGCTTCGGGTGAGCTGGGGGGTGGACAGGCCGCGGATACCAAGTAAGTCCTCGATCACCCCCACCCCCACCCTCCCCTCCCCTCCCCACGAGCCTCACCCGCTGCTGCAGAGGCGGCGGCGGCAGCAGCAGCTGCGCGCACCTCCAGCAGGGCGCTGTACCACGCCTGCTGCTCTGCCTCGCTGGCCGCCGCCACGCCCAGGCTGCTGTCACGCGTGTAGAGGACGATCAGGTGGCGCTGGCGCGCATCCGCGCGCTTGCTGATGGTGCACGCGCCCTCCAGACTCAAGCTGCGCTGGGGCCGCGCGGGGCGGCACCCGCCGGCGCGGAACTTTTTCTCGCTCTCGTAGCACTCGAGGCGTGGCGGGTCGGAGCGCAGCACGAAGAAGCGGAGGCGCTGAGACTTCTGTTTCCGCAGGTGGCCGCAGAGTCGCACGTCTGCCGGGCAGGGCCAGGGCAGTGGTGGGCTGAGGGGCGCATCTACGGACTTGGATTCTAGGGTGGCTGTGGAGCCACCGCCCGCTGGCTTCATCCCAGTCCAAAGGCAATAAGGTGGCCGAACAGGGGCTGATCAAGCTGGGTCTGTTCTCTGAGCCTCGGAGGAAAGGCCAGCAGAGGTGGGGTTGTGGCCCAGTTGGGGCAGACTGCGACCCATCTAGGTTCCCAGCTTCTCTTCCCCCAACTCCCAACTTGAACTTCAGGGCAACAGCTCTGCGCACAGCGTGTGCCCCCGTGGCCTCGCCGTGGCCTGTCTCACCAGGGCTCCTAGGGACTCAGAAGGCTGACCTGGCTGGATCCCTTCCTGCCCGCCCTCCCCCTGCTGACAGCTGCGGGAATTCCCACCCCCCCATTAGGTTAACCCTCGCAGGCCCGCCAGGGTTTGAGTCTGGAAGTGTAGAGGAGGTTTCTGGCCCCCGTGGGGACCGACCGAGCTTTCGCCGGTGCTGGGAGGGTGGGGGTGTCTCCACCAATCAGCTGACTGGCTGTAGGGGCGGAGGAGGGCCGTGCCCGGGGCAGGCTGGGGCAACCAGGGAAGCGACCCATAGGGTGAGGCCCTTGTGATTGGAATCCAAGTCCGCGGTGATGGCACCGGCGATTAGAGGGCGGCCAAACGGGCCACCCTAACGCAGTAGCCACTCAGGTTCCGGCCACCACATTGAGCCTGTAGGTGTCCGTCTCCTGTATGCCACCTCCCCATCCAGGGATGATTTTTGCACCCTTTTGCGGAGCTGCATTGAAGTCTAAGATGCAGATTCAGTTTCTCTGTGGGTTTGGGGTGATAAGTGGCGTCCTAGAACAGGTAGAATTCTGGGTTGGTCCCTGTGCACAAATCATACCCACCAGAAACCCGGTCAAGTAGCTCCTGAAGGACCTGTGGGGGAATTCATTTCTCAGGGACACCCCTTTCACACTGCTACACTGCTGTCAGCTTCTTACCACCACTGCCCCAAAATGCCACCTGAGGCCAGCTGAAGGCTCTGATCATAGAAGTGTGGACTCCTTTCTTTGCCCCTTGCATCCTGAGAGGTTTGGATGGGGCTGGAGTGTGGACATTTTTGCACCTCTGTTCAGGACCTGGCATTGTCCAGTGTACATTTTGCCAGACAAGCCCCAGGTGACATGCAGGGAGGCCTTAACAGAACTTGTGATCTCACCCTCCTGGCGAGTGGGATGCTAAGCCTGGAGGAAAGAGGCCAAGCTGTGACCCGTTAAAGAGGATATTGGGGAAGGGTACCTGATCTAACAGAACAGAAATAAGGAGCTGAGATTCTTGAACACCTTTTTGAAGAACATGCTGAGTGAGACACAGCCAACCAGCATCACAAGGATGGG